GTAATATGTGTTGCATGAATAGAAAAATTCGGTATGAATCTTCTATAGTAATTAATGAATGCTACAAATCTTTTGCATTCATCAGCATTTCTTGGTTTTGGGTAGGTAAGAATTTTGTCGAATTTTGATTCGTCTGGCAAGATTCCTTGATCTGTGCATTTGTGTCCCAGAAATGTTACTTGGGAGTCAAAGAATTTGCATTTATCTGGGTGAAGTTTAAGATTTGTGGCTCTACAAACATCAAAAACTGATTTTAAATTCTTGAGCATGTGATTTTCCGAGCAGCCTACAACTATTAAGTCATCCATATAAATGAGTTGGGTGCACTTTTTAATCCAAATGGTAATCGCTTGAATCTAAATGATCCTTGATCGGATGAGAAAGACGTTATGTTTCTTGAATTCTCCTCTAATTCTATTTGATGAAAGCCAGAGATTAAATCCAGACAGAAAAAATATTTGGCACGACCCAATTGATCGAGAATATCATCGATTCTAGGTAGTGGGTATTTGTCTGACGCTAATTTTTTGTTGACCTGTCTATAGTCTATTACTAATCTCCATTTTTTCTCTGAGGAATTTGGTAAGGATTTTTTAGGTACAAGAAGAATTGGGCTATTATATTCTGATACCGAAGGTTCAACTATGTCATCTTTAATTAATTTGTCTATATGTTTTCTGATTTCGGGTTTATGATTATGAGGCAATCTATAGTTTTTAATGTAGACCGGTGTTTCGTCTTTTAAACGCAATTTTTGTTTATAAAAATTGTTGACAGTGCAGGGATCAGTCTCTAAAGCGAATACATCTGTATAGTCTGAGCATTATTTTAGTAATTTATCGCGGTGGTATAAAGGACAGTTTTGGGTTAGTTTATTTAATATAGTGTTCTCTCTCTCTTCAGTGTCGTTTGTTTTGCTGATGTTAACCACCTTGTAGTCATCCAAGGATTCTGTTCTGATCTTATTTTGTTTAAGAAAAACATTATTATCTGTTGTATTTATTATTCTGACATATGGATTCCTCGTGTTAACTATTGTATTTGCTATTATTACGCCTTCTTCTAACTCTTGGTTTGGGATAAGCATATTTTCTGCGGTTGCAACTATGTGGATCTTCCTAATAACTTCCACTCTTGCCGGTAAACTAAGTATTCCCTTTGTGGGTGATTCTAAAATTTCTAGCTCCAAGTGACTTTTCAGAGAGTTAGGTCATATTATCAACAGTGTTGCCGCGAAACATTTTTAGTGGTAGCTAAATTGCAGCTAAAAAAGGGCTAAAAAAGAGCTAAAAATCGTCGTTGTGGCTAAAAATGGTAGCTAAATTTTTTTACCTACATCTTATATATAAAAATAAGTGCACGTTTTTGGTGTGACCTCATAACTTGAAAACAGCTTGACCGAATTCAACCAAATTTATGTGGCATATTCGATTTATCATGCAGATGGTTTATGCGAAGTTTTCCCGAATTCGGAAGAGGGGGCGTGGCACCACCCATACTAACTAGAATATAAAAATAAGTGAACGTTTTTGGTGTGACAATATAACTTAAGAACGGCTTCACCGAATTCAACCAAATTTATGCGGCATATTCGGGCCATCATGCAGATATTTTATGTGTAGTTTTCCCAAATTTGGAAAAGGGGCGTGGCATATGTATGTATCTTATGTATACAAATAAGTACATGTTTTTGGTGTGAGCTTATAACTTGAGAACGGCTTCACCGAATTCAACCAAATTTATACGGCATATTCAGGCTATCATGCAGATGGTTTATGTGAAGTTTGCCCGAATTCGTAAAAATGGGTGTGGCACCTTCCATACTAACTAAAATTTTTTTGTTGTATATCTCTTGAAATATTTGTGGTAGAGTACTGGAAGTTGGTATAGAGGTATAACCAATAATTCCATACTCATGGATAAAAATGGGCAGTATTGGAAAAGAGGGCGTTGCACCTCACATCTTATATATAAAGACTAAGTGCAAGATTTCAACCAAATTTATACGGCATAGTCGGGCTATTATGCAGATGGTTTGTGTTAAGTTTCCCCGAATTCGGAAAAGGGGGCGTGGCACCACCCATACTAACAAAAATTGTCATCTGGTATATCTCTTGAAATATTTGTGGTAGATTACTGGAATCGGTAGCTATACGTGGCCTGTTCAAGAGTTGGCATTCCAAATTGTTTATTTATTCATACCCAAGATGGAAAAACAAAAAATGTTGTATATCCAAATCTGTTGGATTAAGTTTTAAAATAAAGAATCAAAAATTTTGAAATAAAACAAATGATAAATTTTCATATAGAAAAATTACAGGACTTTTCATTCGTTTTTCAATATTTGGTGTAGAGAAGCACACCGGGGTACTGCTAGTATAAATATGTAAGTATACACGCAAACATTTTCTATAATTACTGTTATAGAAAAACAATGAACTCTGAAAAGAATTACTATTTTATTCAACAAAAAAACTTTTTGTGTAACACAGAAAGCATATTAAAGGTCACCAACTTACCTATTTTAAAGTATAGTTAAATCGTTAACGGATAAGATAACGGCCCAGAAACGTAAGGAACATACATAGAAATATGTTTACTTGCCTTAAAGGAAAGGCGTTCGCTTTATGAGCGAAGAGTTAAATTCATGAAAATCATAAAAAAAATTTGAAAAGTGAAAACAAAGGAAAATTACGATAAAAAAGCAAATCCACAAAGTATTCTAGCAAACAACATGGTCTACCTAAAGGATGAAACCGGCCACATGCTGGACGGCATCTTTAAAGGCCCATATAAAGTTATAGAAACAGACACTCAGGGTAATTGCAAAATCGATATGAACTCAAAAACAACCATTGTGCATAAAAACAGATTAAAATTAGCATAATAAAATTTTAAAACGTATTTTAAGACTATCCTGGCCAGGACTAACACATAAATACATAGATTAAAATTATAAATTGTTAAAGGCAAATACATAAATATTATATATATATACAATTAAAAGGAAAAAAGTAAAAAAAAAAACAAAAAAAAATAAAATAAAAAATCCTAAATATACAAACACATAAAATTCACAAATACAAACTTGTAAATGTTCCAAATTCAATCTTTTACAATAAGGTCAAAATATAAATAAGTATACCTAAGAAAACAAAAATCTTTTTACAAACTACATATGCAAGTAAACTAAACAATAAAATACATTTGACACCCCGAACAAAATTCCATTGTACAGCATGATCATTCAAATCGTCTCTATTTGTATGATCACGCTTTCAAACGGGGAAGGTGTAGTGACTTTCGTCAAAAGTAGGTAAACGTGGAAACAATAACAAACGATAAGCCAAACAGACATATGACTGTTCTGGGGTCATAAACCCTTTAACGTTCATTCGTTTATTGCATTTCATTGCAGCGTATGCGATGACATATGATCACAAGACAAACCCAAGTGGAAGGTCCAACAGCAATTGAAACCAAAATAGTTTGACACATTTACCAAATGTGTTAGTCATAGATTGGATATTGTTTTCAACGCTATATAAGTAGAAGTAAGTTCATAAGTAGTTTAGTTACTGAAAATCATTCAATAAACACTGTTGGTTTTAAAACCTAATAAAACATAAACACTTTTCATTTTAATAAATCTAACTTGCTCTTTGGCACTCACCCATAGTGACAAGACAAGATTAGATTGGATAGGCGGCTTTCTTGAGAGCTCTGTCCACAGCACAATCTATATAAGGCTAAGCACTTGATGGCAAAGTAAGGCCATCTATTTCAGGGGTGCTCTCGTACTCTTCGAATTTTGGAATAGTATTTTTGCATTTCGTGCAATCCTTACATCGTGCAAGACTTCGAGAATACCCCTAGTGTTACAAAATCCTTGACGGTGGTACCGGGAGGGGAACGGTACATGACGGTAGGAAGTTTAGTTTGGGTTAAAGTCTCACACTGACGGGGTTAAGCTTTCGATGCTTCCTCCTCGTAAAATAAACGTGCTCAGTTAAAAGTTAACAATTTAAATCGACGAATAGTTTTATATCAACTTTTGTGAACTTCTGTTTATTTGTTTTTGTACAACAAATGGTTACAATAATTTTAAGCTATAATAAACAATTTTTTAGTAAGTTATTGGTTTTGATTTTTTTTTTTTGTATGCATTGAATTAAATGAACTCCTGCATTCATATGACGTTTTAGTATTTTAAAGCTTTTTGGTCAATAACTCTTAAGACTGGTTTCACTATGTCATATTTTGACTGCAAAATTTGGCGACATATTTTGATACAACTTTATCTCCTTTATCCATACCTTTACTGATGATATTATGCGCCCAAAATTGATAGATAGCCGATCTCGCAGCGCATGTACACGACTAGAGACCGATCCTGATCCAAATCAACCGAAAACCCGCTTTTTGATCCTATTTGACAATGTGCTTTCACTTATTTGACGACAAATGCCACTGAATTTGACATAGTGAAAACCAGCCTTTACACTTAATGGAACTTTTTTTCTGTTTTGGTCAGAGTTTGTCTAAAGTTTTTTTTATAGATATTTGGCCTTATTCATAAAAAATAAAGTAGGTTTAAAATGCTTTAAAAATTGACGTTTCCATACATTTTTCAAATTATGAACCTTTTTTAAAGACACTTTATTTTTTATGAATAGGGCTAATTGAGTGTAACCCTGTAAAATCAGGTGATCTCAGCTGTGAGGCATTTCTGCAAAACATCCAATTTTTTTCACTTGTAAGTGTATACAATGCATAGTGTAATAAGCAAAGTGAAATCAATATATGACATATTTATTTTGTATACGCTTATATGACAACGGTTTTGTCATTGCGCTAACCCATTTGAAACTAGCAACATTATAAATTAATTTCAAAATAAAAAAAATTTGATTTCAAGTCAAAAAATAATTGTTTTAGAAAACTAAGAACAAAACGAAAAAAAATCTTTTAAAATGCCCGATACTTGCTGTTTATGCAGAAGCACCCACAACAATGAGGTGGGAATGTTTCGTGTGCCAGCATCTTGTTACGCAAGGAAGGGATTGGATGAATGCGTGTGGTGTTAAACTAACTGGATCACCACTCTGCACTTCAAATCGAATGATATCATTTATGCAAGTATTAATGCCAAGAGAAGACGCCTCGATCCAGATGCAGTACCAACAAAGATGTTACCTGCTATTTCATCAGATGAGAGGTAATGATCAAAGTGTGGGTATGTTCTCAAATGCATTAGTGCAAAGGCATATCGTGAAAATAACGTCCAATAACTACAACCGCAGTGCGCCAAACAGATGTTAAGTATCGCATAAAATTTACACTTTCGCCAATTTAGTAATAATATTGGTCCTGATTTGATTAATTTGAGTGTTGCCGTTTTCGTTATTCTTTAACAAAATCGGTACTTTACTTTGTAATGCTGTGGAACAAAAATGCATTTTTGAGTAAATGTTTTAGTAGCAGGAAATAAGAGTTAGAATTCGGCTTTTATATTTTGACAGCGTATTCGGAGACTGCAGCAGGTTAAACTCATACCTGAGTAGACTAAATGAGGATGTGCCAAATGAGTGTCCGGCATGCGGAGAGACCCCTCACGAGTCGAAACATCTCTTCGCATGCCCAGAAAACCCGACAACCCTAACGACGTTGTCCCTGTGGACCGACCCCGTAGAGGCTGCACGCTTCTTGGGGCTGCCGTTAGTGGAACTCGACGACAACGACTGAGATATCAACCATTCTGGGCGGGGTTGTTGTAGCCGCTATAACAACAACAACAACTGCATTTTTATACACTTTTTTAATTCACGTAAGGATGTTTTTTTAATTAGTTGGTAGTTATTTAAATGGTAATGAAGGAAAAAGTTCAAGATCTACTGTTCTTCTTCTTTATTGGCGCTGTAACCGTCATTTCTACTCACTAAACTTAAAAACGAATATATGTAGATATATACATTGAATACATTTCATAAGAGTTCAAGAAAGCACGGTTTTAATTTAGTTTCTCTTCCTGTAAAAAAAGTTTGAATATGCAAATGTACATGTACTGAAAAGCGTTCATATGTATGATTTACATACTTATTCAAATAATAAGCACAAATCCAAATAAGTAAAAATTGTTTCGAAGTTAATTCAACATTCTAATGGTAATGCTCGCAATGTTGTCCTCAGAAATTCTTCAAAGCTGTTATCGCAGTTTCGTGGCGATTTTATCTCGATGCAACTCTGATTTCCATTTGCTTACTTTTGTTAAGAGCAAAATACAACACACAAGCGGCTTGTCTAAAAAATTACATTGTAAAGCCAAAGAATATAACTCAGTGTTGTAAAGTGAATATTTGTACACTAACAGGCATGTTCTGCAAATCGTACGATTTCAAATCGGTGTGATTTCCGAAGTATTGTTGTATATTTGTAATCAAAGTAGTAAATGTTTCAAATGGAAACTCCTGGAAACACATCATTTGCGTTATATCCATCGTTTTAGTGCCTAATTTTTCCCTCTTTATTATAAAACCTCTGAAATAGATTTTGTAAATCGCACCGACTAGAAATCGTACGATTTGCAGAACACGCCTGTAAATTTAGCATTTATTTCTAAAATATGCTAAAAAATGCATTTGGTGCGAAATATGCCGAAACATGGTCTAACAAATATGGCTAAAACGCTTCATCTTTTTACAATTCGTATTTCCTTTTTATGCATTTTGTGATAAAGTATAAGAAAAAAACATGTTCGAGCATATTTTTGGTTGCCCTAGTTATGAGGTATTTCTTAAAGGACTACCTCTAAATTTCGATTTATACATGTACACATATCTATAACCCATCCAAATCATTTATACTAATGCTAGGACCTTTTCCAAAGCTGCTTATTTTCCCTCTTTCTACTACTTTTAAAATGCATACCAGAATTAAGGCAGTCTACCATTTGGTGAGTTCGTACTGAGATCACCTTCTCTTATTCCACCGTGAACCTGCACATACTTAAAGTTACCACATTCAAAAAACAATTGTACACAGTTTATTTGTTTTAAAGAGACGGTCTAATATAAATACATATCATCTTTTAAAGTACAAAACCGCGTATCGTTATTTTGCAAAACCGTGTAACTGAAATTTGCTGCCAAATATTGGATTTGCTCACACAAGCTCTTGGCTCAATCCTTATCCCTCCGTCCTGAAATATACTAGCCAGAAACGCGATTGCTTTATAAAAAAGAGAACTATTTTGAAATATGAGCATTTTTACTCTCTAGAAAACAATTTATGCAACCTCACATACGCGGTTTTGCATTATCTTGATACACGGTTTTGCATTTTGTTTATACGCGGGTTTGTACTTTAAACGACGATATACTATGTTTTTACATACATACATAGTATTTATGTAGGGAATATTTTAGCCATTGGCGTTTCTAAATTTTATTTCTGCACATTAAATAATGGATGTAATATTAATAGGGATGGAACAACAGATGTCACGCGCACATTTCACTTTGGGGAGCCCACAGAATTTCAAAAAGAGGCTTACACGCGCGTCTTAAAAGGGCAGTTGATATTTGGATCCACAATTTTCCCAGCGAGAGTAAAGGTCAGTTGAAAGTGGTATTTATTTGAGTAGAAGTTTTCCTCATATGTACATATAATAAAAAAGGGCCAAGTTCTCGACACTATCGCAAGAAAATGCCTTTGGGATGTTGGACTCGATTATGGACATGGAACAGGGCATGGTATTGGATCATTCCTTAATGTGCATGAGGGTCCTATGGGAGTAGGAATTCGTCCTATGCCCGATGATCCCGGATTACAAGAAAACATGTTTATATCGAACGGTATTATTGATATTATTTGATATATGCTATATATATATATGTATATATATATGTAAGTACAATCTTTTATGCCTTAGAACCAGGATATTACCATGCAGAGGAATTCGGCATTCGTATTGAAGACATTGTTCAAATCGTCCCAGCATCAACAATTCACAACTTCGGAGGAAGAGGCGCTTTAACATTTAAAACTATTACAATGTGTCCAAAGCAAACAAAGATGATTATAAAAGATATGCTCTTAGATACAGAGGTAATGACTTCATTTTATAATTTTTTCAGTATTGTAAATGCTTCTTTATAGATAACAATTTTAAACAATTATCACAAAACGGTTTGGGAAACCTTGTCTACAATTTTGCGGGAGGAGGGTGATGATCTCACTTTATCATGGTTGGAAAAAGAGACCCGTGCCATTTAAATCAGTTTGTGTGCGGCGTCTTAGAAACAATAAAGATTTATAGCGTTAAGGTTTTCTTTAGCAGTTTCGGTTGTACCTCACGGCTATCTTTATTCTCAAAAAAGATACTTATTATTAGTACGTTTATACCGTGATAAAAATATTTATAAGGTAAATTGCTGAGAGCCAGCTTTAGGAATTTTGACGTTTGCTTTTTTTTGCTAATTTCTCTCGCCGTCATTTTTTTTGTTTGTTTTTATTTTCACTCAAACGAAAGAAATATATTTCTGTCCAAACAATAAAATTTGAATGACATTCATAGATATCTACATATGTATGTATGTGTACATTAGATCACTCCCCATACAAAAAAAAAAGCGGCACTGTTTTTCCATTGGAATTATAAATATCTATTATATTTTAAGACCTCGACCAAAATATTTCGGAAAAATATTAAGATTTAAGCGAGCTGGACCGATTTGAAAATACCTCCAAAAAGTTTTTTATGAATAGAAATAGTTTCTTAAAGATGTTCAAAAAAACCCTCAAATGACAAAACGGTTTAAGCTTAAAAAATTTACATAAAAATATTAAAAAATAAAAAATAAAATAAAAATTTTGAACGGGATCGGAATAATGAGATTTTTGATGCTGTTTTTTAACTTTTTTCAAAGATTGGTATAAGAAAAAAACTTGAATAACTGAACCTAAACTCTTCCGATTTAGACCTGTGAGGTATCATTGGAAAGATATTTTCTCACCCAAGACACGAATGACTTTCTTTGCACATAAATAAAAATGGTGGGAAAATACCTTTCTACCGAGATCCCATAAGTCTAAATCAGAATAGTTTTGGCCCAGTTATTTAAGTTTTTCGTAAATCAATCTTTGAATAAAACTAAAAAAACAGCATCAAAAATCTCATTATTACGATTCCGTTGAAAAGAATTTTAAGGAAATATTTTTATGCAGATTTGTTTAGCCTAATCTGTTTTGTTATCCGAGGGGAATTTTTTCAAAAAGTTCTTTAAAAAACTACTTTTATTAATAAAAAACTCCACTTTTGTAGGTATTTTCAAATCGGTCCAGCTTGCTTAAATCTTAATATTTTTCCGAAATATTTGGGTAGACGTCTTAAAAAATAATAAATTTTGTAATCCCGGCGGTAAACCCTCAAGTTTTTTTGGTGATGCAGTCTAATGTACATATGTAAATAAATAAATGTAAGCAATTGTGTGTAATGAATTTCTACCCACATGCTTAGGCAAGATTTTGGCATACATTTAAACCAATTTAACCTTAAAGCCATGATTCAATAATTAAAGGTTTCCTCATTAGTGACATTCGAGTTTTGACACTCCTTTATCTCCCTTACAAAAGCTTTGCACACACGCACGAACCCACACAGTGCCTTGCTAAGGGAGCCGATTTTGTCAAGAGGGAGCGAGGAAATCGTTTTTTGAGCAAACCTTTTATTATTGAATCATGCCTTAAAGCCACTGCACTTTTGCTAAAAACTATCTTGGGTCGAGTGGTGGGGCAAAAAATGAGCCTAGCGCACAGAGGCACTTGGGAAAATTCGCTGCCTTAACACCACAAACCTCGAACAATTTTTGCGTACATACGGTAATTGCGAGAACTTAAAGAACTTTATACTTCTTTCCTTGCAGAGAAAAACGGTATTTGCGCAGCCGCTAACGCAGCATCCCACATTTGAATAAATAAATTTTCGAATCATAAATTTTCATTTACATATTTATTTGACATTTGAATTATTTCGAGAGAGTAAATGCTAGCAAACGTCAAAAACCCCCAATGGCGGACGAATTGTGCGAGCGGTTTTACCCAAGGTGTGATTGACAACTCAGTGCGGCTCTCTTTTAAGGTACTATAATGTCAAAAAGTATAAACAAACGAATTAACCATTAGTGATGCATGTATCTTGTCAGCACTGATACCCAAGGCTTTTATTTTTATTATAGTTTTGTTTTACTTACATTACCTGGAATATATATATTTTGTCAATAACATAAAACAAATTGTTTATAAAATCGTTTTAGCAATTTTCTTGTTTTTAATTGCCCAAGTTTTATACCTTTGTGCGTTTATTTTTATATTTAAATTTTTTATCCTAAACATTATTCGACACTTATAAAAGTATGATTTTACATTTGTTAAATTTATTTCATGCGAAATAGTTTGGGTACAAACGAGCTCCTTTGAAAGTGCTTGATTCGGACGGACAACAAATGAAATAACTTTCCTTGAAGTGGTTTTCACAAACGCGAGATGAATCTCGTAGTACAACACCACATCGCTGCCGTCTTAACTCGCAACTAGGTGGTTTAAAACAGCGCACTATTTTCGTGCCCTGACTTCTATTGCATACAGCGCACCGTTCAAAAGTTTTTCTCCGTTTCATCTTTGTTTCCTTACATTAAATATTTAAGCAAAGTCGAACGTATTTCCTTATTAACAAACTTTAAATGTACTTTCTTGCTCCCCTCGGTGGTGTATCTCTTAACAATTTCACGTTTATTAAGAAAATTTGTTGCTTGAAAAATTTTTGTGTAAATTTTTTTAAACAAATTCAAATTTGAAAAAAATATTTTCAAATGGGTTAATAATTCATTTCAGTTTGACATTATAGCCTGTTTCTTATAAGAGCAATGTCAAAATCAATCACACGTTGTTGAATACATTTTGGTTTTACCTTTACATATTTTTATCATGGCTTATACCGTCACATTCAAATTACGAATGACAATACAATGAAGAAAATGAATAGAGAAAACGAACAATATTGCGAACTTAAATCTAGATATGAATTTGCAATCTCGCGTTAAACGTAAAACGTAAGGGTAAATCCCTACATCACCCCTTCCAAAAGCATCGCCGCGGATTCAAAATTTGAGGCAAAAGTCAAATTGTCGATATCTCTTCTGTTGGGAAATAAGCCAGTTTTAATCTGTCCATCGAAACGGTGACTTGTTGAGATCCTACTAGGATTGTGCATATCTTTGGGTATCTGTTAACGACCAAATACGGACCATCATACGGTGCCTTTAGTGGCGAGCGGATTGTGTCATCTCGAAGGAAAACATGGCTACAGAAACTCAAGTCTTTCCGGACGAATACTGGAGTTTTTCTATGCTGCGAGGTTTTCGTTGGTTTGATTTGTTCAAAATGTTGCCGTAATCCTTGTTTAAACATATGTACATCTGCGGATGAGTCATTAGTGTCGTGAAGGATCAAACTGGGCAAACAAATCGTATGTCCGCAAGGCATTTCTGCTACTGATGCTCCCAGATCATCCTCTACTGCCGTTCGTAGACCAAGCAGCACTATGGGTAAAACGTCAACCAAATTGGAGTTAGCCTCGTGGCATTTCAAAGCGGCCTTTAAGACCCGATGCATCGCTCAAGCATCGCTCGTGGTATGTATGTATTAGTCCTGCAAAACTATCGATGGGACCATCGATGTTATCACTATCGATGGTTTTTTGAAACCTTCGATTGTATTTTACTTTGCACTCATAAATATAAAGTTCCTTTTCCATTCACATTAACCTGCGAAAGGCAAATTGTTGTCGCGACATTTTTTTATTAGTTTAAGAAAAATAAATGAATACACGGTTTTGGTTTGAACTTTCTTACTTAAACTTTGTTTTTTTTTTGTTTTTGGATTTTCTAATACTTTCCAGGGCTGTCACAGAATCTATCGTAGTCCGATTTTTCATGAAATCTACGAAAATGCTCCCACTGAATCCGAGTAGTGTATACTTTGAATACAAAAGGTCGTAACAATTCGGATTCAGTGATCGCATTTTCGTAGATTTCACGAAATAACGGACTACGATGGTTTTGGGATAGCCCAAACTTATAGGCTTTCTCAGGTAAGTTGAATGAATTTTCACATGAGGTGATCGGCAGGGTTTATTTCCTCCTTTTTACCTTTCTACTTTTGTTTTCTTATACTTAACATGAGCAATGGCCCCTTCAATAGGCATAAACTGCAGTTAAGGCTTGTTGAAAATAAATTATTAGTTTGAAAATAAACAAAATATTGTATTTTTTTAGCTTTTACGTCTTTTCAGTATGATATGTGTAAATAAAATAATATTTGTGTAACCCTTTTCTATTTAACGGGTCATTCTAATAAACCATTGATATAATCGATGGTTGTCTATAAAACTATCGAAAACCATCGATGGTGCCACTATCGATGGTTTTGCAGCACTAGTATGTATGTGATTAGCTCCCAGGAGCTTAACCAGTTGCTGAAAAAGGCTGCTCTCGAATTGGCATCCTTGGTCCGTGGTGATACATTTTGGAACGCCGAATCTGCTTATCCACCCTTTAAGTAACTCCCTGGCCACGGTCTCTGCTGTCATATCACTCGCTCGTGCGCCGCGAAATTTTGCACCGCTAACAAGCGGTGACCTTGCCCCGGGGTGTGCTAAGCCGTCCATCGCGTTGAAAACTACTTGCCGCAGAGTTGTCGAAATATATGGCGATATATGACCAGTCGAGTTATCGCAAATAACTCCAGGTGCGTACCTAGCTGCGTGTGCCTCACCAACTGTAGTGAGGTGTTGCCGTTTCGATTCCAATTTTGCTTCACGTAACAGTTGGAAATACCACGTAGTATTAAAGTAACATGCGATCTTGCATGATATTGAATTCAGTGTCGTTTAAAAGAAAAAAACGGGTACATATTTACATAATTATATATATAATAATATAATAATATAATAATAATTATTATTATTTTTATTTTTAATAGTTTTTTTAAGACTGGAATTGAAGAGATATATTTAATCCTTTATCCTTCGAAGAAAACATCCTGAACAGCCCTATTTTTATATTGTTTCTGAGTCATTAGCCTTAGGAAGGTGGCTATCAGTAGTTCACTTAGAATTGCGCTTGCATTACAATGGAACTAGCTATTCATAATTTTAATGTTTCAATTATCCACAAACATAAAATCAGAGACTATCAGGCAATCGGAACCGAAATGACAATGAAATGACAATTCGTGTGATTTTGTTTTGGGTGTTCTACAATTCGTTCGATTTCATTAGAATTCGAACTTAAGTTCGAAACCGCTGATTTTATTATATATATTATAGAAATCGG